TCTCTCTCTCTCTCTCTGTCTCTCTCTCTCTGTCTCTCTCTCTCTCTCTCCCTCTCTCTCACTTTCTCTCTTTCTCTCTCTCACTTTTTCCCCCCTCCCTCAGTGTGTTTGTCTCTTGTCTCTCTATCTTGTGCTTTTCCTTAAACTCAAACCTTCACTAACACCATCACGAGTACTCTCATGCAGCTATTTACCCAAAGAAGGCGAGACGTACACACAACCCTGTCGTATTCTCCTCTGTAGAGTAAACCTACCTTAGGGTAATTAATTGTGCCGGTGTAACACCCCTTTCAACACTTTAAGGTTACTTTAGAGGCGGGACCCCCTGATTTTAACGTCCATCTCCGGTAGCATCGAGCCTAATAAAATAAGACGAGTAGAGAGCTTTAAATTGGTGAGATGGTTGGTGCGCCTGAAAATTCCTCGAAGCAGCCCTAGTTCAGAAGACCCCGCTACGGATTCGAACCGTGGCCATACGCTCCGTAGTCCAGCTCGATACGACCTCAGCTAATGATGCGCTGAGTCTTAAGTGTTACTCGTGAATGAGCTGCCAGTGTTGTTCACAATCTAATTCAGGACGCTCTTTAGTAGTGCTAATTTCAGTCTCTCTCTCTTGTTAACCGCACGAGGGCGCCCCCTTTTTCTCACCCATCCCATGTCTTCTGTTGCTTGTTCTCTCTGAGAACAAACGTTCTGGTTAGGAAAAAAATGACACGTTTTTTTTTATATGTGCAAACCTTTAATCCGAAATCCACATTCTAACGTCTTTGCGTACAACAGTTATGGTTGCAGTCGCACAAAAATCGCTGTAAACCGAACAATGAGGCAAATGGCATGCTCTTCATTAATGCGTTACTTTTTAACCCTATCCGTACGCGCTGGGGTCATGTTGTACCCCAGGGTTGTATTCTTTACATTTTAGAATACTTGTAGTACGAAGATCTCTTTGAAACTTTTAGTAGTTCTAGAAAAATCATTTTGTCAGATTGCTATGCAAAGCGTACGGTTCGGATTAACTAATAAATTTTCTCTATGTAAAGTGGTGGCTCAGAGTTGGCCATGTCGTATGGATACGATAGTAAAACACGACGTACGGATAGGGTTAAGATTGGACCTTAATTTAATTAAGTACACACTATAGCATTATTCGGAAATGGCATAATGGGTGGTTGGCGGGCGCTCTGGTATGGTTTGCTCCTTCTTTCCTGTCAAACATCTTTCTCCTCTATCTCTCCTTCTTGCATTTGTTTCTCTCTTGTAATATATGTAATTGTCGGCGCTTATATGACCTAATTGTGCTGCTAGTGCCGTAAAACTCTTCCTAAGACAAACAAACATGGAAAAGAGTAAGCTCCTCTGCAAAACGGTTTGTACCATTTGTATGTGTATGAAAGAAAGCCTTTGTCGTTTGTTTTGACTGTCGTTTCTGTTTTGGTTTCTCTAGCGAAAACACTCTTGCTTCAATTACCACAGTTGTCAACGTTTAAGGGTAGTTTTCCGCTCGCCCTTGAGACAGCTCCATAATCATGCAGGATGTATGGTCAAAGTCGAAACCGTCCCTCTACAGCCATGCTTTAACTCTTTGAAGACATAGCAGACACATTATACATGATACGTCCGATCAGCCGTAGACCAATGGGAATGTTATAATGTTATGTTACCGAACCATCATGTACATATTATAAACACGCATTTGCTTATTTCATAGTATGCATGTTGTAGTTTGCCATTTTAAACGCGGGTGGTTGGAGGGCGCCATTGGTAGGTCCGACTTCTTTACTTTCCCTCTGCTGTTTCTGTGTGTCTGTTTGTCTGTGGGTGGTTGGCGGGTGCTCTGGTGTGGTTTGCTCCTTCTTTCCTATCAAACCTCTGTCGTCCTTATCTTATCTTTCCACCTTCTTTTTTGTGTATGTTACTCTCTTGTAACCCCTCTAATCTTCACACTTATATGACCTTATTCAATTGTGTTGCAAGTGCCGTAAAACTCTTACTAGAACTCTGTTTGTCTTACTTTTTTTCCAGCACTAAATGACCATCTTTGTGTCGATGTGCTTCGTGTTACCCAAACAAACCGTTTTAAACAAGAATTGAAATATCTGTATTTAAAAAAACCGAAATTGTGCTTATTTTTTAAAAAAATGCCCCTAAGCAGCGCGTCTTCGAGCGTTGTGGACTGACCAGAATGCGCGTCCTAAACGAGTTAATGCAGATGGAACCTTTTTGCTATATGTTGTGCAAGTGTTGGCCTTGGTCTGTAGTTGCATGTGCCTGTCACAGACGATGTTGACGACAACCCTCTCTCCCACACCACCACCTCCCTTTTCCGTTCCCCGCTCCTCCGCCAGAGAAAGAGTTGTTTATAACAGCGAGGATTGGCAGATTACTATAAAAACTAGAGCTGCCGGGGCGAGCACCCGTCCATATTCAAATTATGTTGCTTTCGTCACAGGACCGCGAAAGTTCACGATGAACCGTGCACGGACTAGAATATTATATCCCTGTGGCATCCTGTTGTGTATTCTGAGCCGTATCTCGGAGGCTGGGAGATGTTACTTAGGACTGTACTTTGCAGTAGAGAGATTAACCTGAACCCTTGAAGATTATATGTAGAGTTATTTTTAATTCTAGATATCCAGATATATTTCTTGGGCTGCACCTGGATTTGACGCGCTCGCAGATTCTTAGCTCTAGGTTTGGTTCGCTTTTAAATCTTGCGAAAGGTAGATCTAGAATCTAGTGATTAATTGTTGTTCTCCACATTGTTTGGGACTCGATGATTTTTTGAAGTTTTATTTTTTTTTTAATTTCTTATACTTTCATGCACTCAAAACTTGGACTCAAAACTCGGATTTGTGATTGTGATGCACAGTGTCGCACAGTGAGCAAAACGTCATTCTGCTGCCAAGGACGGTGTTGTGTAAATCAGGTTGCTTGCTCTGGATTTCGCAGTTTTGGAAACGAAATATTTGCAGGGGTTGAGAGGTCTGGGAGTTCTGATAACCACCTGTGACGTCAGAGAGTGAAACTGAGACGTTCGGCGAAAAAGCAGAAGCGTAGTGAAAATACGTAATAATAAAATAATGTTTGTGAGCGCTCTGAACATTTTCACGTCGATGAGCCTCAGGGGAGATATGATAATTATGTCTACGTCTGCCTTGTCAGATAGCATTTAGAGCGAGCTGAACTTGAAGAGGAGATTTTTCACTTCATATTCCAGTCGCTAGAGAGGGGAATGTTGTTCTAGAAGGTAAGAATCTTAATCAACATTTCTTTTGTTCCTCTCTTCTGTTGGAATGTTTACGACCAAACGCAGTGGATTGTGCCGTGAAACCC